ACATTTGTAACTTTTTTATGCTTATATCATTTAATTTTGTCCATAAATACCTTTTTTATTAAAAATTATTTGTTATATGAAAATGTTTTCGTTTTTGCGCAAAAATATAATTATTCGTTGCTCTCTTCCTCAAAACAAAATTTGTACTGAAATTATAAATATCGTACATATCGTACATATCTCCGGATAAATAATTCAGATAAATTCCACCGTTTCTATAGTTCTATAAGAAATTAAGAAGGACCAAACAATACTAATATTCAACAGTTGTTTCATTTTCACAAACACTTTACTTTGCTACAAAATAAATACTTAGTGCCATATTAATACCTCTAATCCAAAAATTTAAAAAAATAGTTTTAAGCCTTTTTGAGTAAATACAATGTTTCATATGAAAATTTGTCGTGCAAAACATGTTAATATTATAAAAATCAATATAATAATTTTTACAAAATAAATAAAATTAAAACCATATATTAAAATTCGTGCTTCCTGAAGAAAAACCCGAAAATATTAGAAGTGTATGGAGGCCTATTAGATCCATATTAATATAGTAGGAGGTTTGGTTAAAAAAAGATACAGGTATTCAGCCCCAATAAAGAAAAACAACACGAATTACTCCAAAATTTGAATTTTTGTCGTCAGACGTATACTAATACAGTGATACAAAAATTTTTAGTTTTTCATTTTATTTGAGCAACTTCATTTCAAAGAAGTCCTTTTAATAACAATGTTATAAAAAAAACTACCTCAAAAAATGAAAATAAAAACTATTCTTATTGTGAATAAATTTATATTCCTTCCGTTAAAAAGTACTTATTTATACCCAAAATAAAAATAAAGTTTCTTAAAATGCAAAATTATGTTCAGAAGATGAGAAAGCTGATTGAAAAATAAACATTATAAATCGAAAAGCATGAATACAGTAAAAATTTAATTTTTTAAAATAAATATTTAAAAAAATCTCGGCTTCGTTCCATTGCTAATTAAAATTTGTATTCAGTTCTCCTGAATGAAATAAAATTCCTATTTAATCAAAAAAAAAAAAAAACAGAAAAATGTTCCCAAAATTTTTATACAAGCACTTGTGTAGATGTTGAAATATGTATAAATCACCAATATATTTTATTCTAATAATTTACAGGAATAAAATATTCCTGGTTTTGTTGTATGATTTAAGATAGACAACAATTAAATTGTATAAAATAATATCAATTAGAGATAGTAGGTAATTATGTGAAAAAATGTTCTTTTTTAATAAAAAATTGAATGGTAATTTCTGGTAAAGTTTTTTTTTTATCAAATTAAATTATTTATGATAATTTATTAGATTAAATTTAAATATTTTGGTATTAAATTTAGTTATTAGTTATAAAATTTTTTTGAATTAATATTAAACTCTTTTAAATTTACTAAAATATTTTATTCTTATTTTTAATAGTGAGATAATTCAACCAAATTCGCAAAATAGCATAAAATTTTTAATAAATCAATTAATTACATATTGCTCTATTTCTTAAAATGATTGATTAAAAAAAATAAAATCCAATATACTGTTGCATATTTCATTTTACACAATAATCCTTTTTCTTGATATCATAAAAAATAGAATATTTATTTTTTAGCTAATTCTTTAAAATACATCCATTTTTCTATTATTACGAAATACAATTCTTTCAGCATATATTTTATTTTCAACATTTAATTTTCAAGTAGTATGTGTACGTTATATTTTTAACCTACATTTATAAATTAGTTTAATAATTTATGAATTCCATACATAAATTATTCTTTACACTAATAAGATTACTGAAAACTCGGTAAGAGCAAAGTAATAAATCTAATTTCGAATCGAAATGTAAAACAACATGTGATGCCGTCGAAGTGTATAGAATGAAAAAATTGTTTCAGTTAGTATTTATATGGTTTCAGAAAATTGATATTGTTGGGTTAGAAAAGTTCTTATGAAAAATAAAATTATTTGAAAAGTACAAGATTGTATTTAAATCTCTAATTGTTTTACAAATTCGAAAATATCATTTTGTTTCTTCACAACGATAGATCTTATAACATATATGGACTGATAGTCCTCATACACTTTTCCTGTTAAAAAGTATTAAATATGAAATATACTTGGCAGCTTTTTCAATAAAATACGACGGCGTTTCAAACTTAAAGTAGAAAATAACTTACGATATTTAAGCAATGGAGAGAGTATTCGACGATTCTCGGCAACGCTCTTTCACTCAGTGACGTCACTATCGTCTATTCATGTTTGGACACATTTTTGCGCTTTTTATTCGACAAAACCATTAGAAAAAAATCGGTAACACGTTTTATTTTATTGTAGTGAATTTGCTTGTTCATTGCGATCTAGATGCAAAGAGATTATACTATTTTTTGTGTCTGTTTATCATTTTAAAAAATGTTATAAAATATCTTGACTTCAAGAAATTTTCTGTGTATAAATAAAATTATTAGATAAAAAACCAAATTCAAGAAAGATTCTTATCAGAAATATCGATCCAATGTGTTATCAATTTAACCATTCATTGCAATTTTTTAGATTTGTTAAATACATTAAAAACCTTATGAAAAAATTGATAATGAAAATTGAAAAAAATTCAATACAAAACAAGTGAGAAATTATTAAAAATTAAATAAAGTAAAAATATAAAATGGAATGGTGTATTTAAAATTGCACGAACAAATTTAGCAAATACATTGTAGTCCTAATAATTAAATCATTTCTTTTAGTTAATATTTGCGTTCATTACAGAAAACTATCAAGAACAAATAGAAATTCATCAATTCCAATTTTGATGCAACAAGAATACCATCTGATAAATAGTTAAAAAAAGCTTATTTTCGGAAAAGCTATCTATCTTATATATTAAAATGACAAAATTTAAAATAAAATTGAGAGTTCTACCTTCTCAAACAAGAATCAAAATGAAAAAATGTAATAGTAAAAAATTATTTTGCAGTAAATTACAAATGGTATACTACTTTAATAAATAATTAATCATACACAAAATTGTTTTCATTAATTGAATCATTTTTTTAGTTAATATATGCGTTTATTAAACAGAAAACTATCAAGAACAAATAGAAAATAATCAATTCCAATTTTGATGCAACAAGTATACCATCTGTTAAATAGTAAAAAAAAGCTCAGTTTCGGAGAAACTTCTTATATTAAAATGACAAAATTTGAAATAAAATTGAGAGTTCTATCTTCTCAAATAAGAATAAAATGAAAAAATGAATAAGTAAAAATTATTTTGTAGTAAGTTTCAAATTACATACTATTTTAATAAATAATTAATCATACACAAAATTGTTTTTATTCTGTTTGCTAATAGTAATGTGTTTTAGGATATTCAAAATTTTAGATATTTAAACGAAAATTCTAAAAGGAATAAAGAAATTAATCCTAAATAAAATTTGATCGGTAACAAATCCACATATACAATTGAATAAATTAGTGGGTAAGTACACAAGTAAAAAAACTTTTAGATTAGAGAAGTGAAATTAAATAATCAGTAAATTTGTTAATAAAAATAGTAAGTATTTATATGGTTTCAGATGTAACGTATCGAGGAATCTCTTACTCGAACATTGAAAAAAAATGGCCATACGATTTTAAATGAAATCGTCAAAAAATACAATAGGAGGTATCTCATAGAAGAAAATCTCTTTTACACTCAGCATATTGTCTTAAAAAATTATTTTGTTTTGATCGGCAAAGCAAATAAAAAAATGTAACTATTGCACACTAATAGTAATAAGAGTTCATCAAAATACTAAATAAATTTTGCATTGCAATTGGAATTGTAGATGTTTGTCCAAAAATTATTCTCGTAAAGATTTGATATATCAAATATAGTAAAGATTTTCGAAATTTAGTTACTTCATAATTGGATGTTCTAATAACAACTTCGTTATTATCCAGGATCTGGATATCATTTGAATTTTACACACTAAGTATGTAGTATGGTATGATTTGATAGATTTTTTAATACACAAGTCTTGCTATATAAACTAATGAATTTTGCGTCGCATAACACTAATTTTTCTGGGCTATTTTACAACAAAATGAGTAAAAAAATACTCCTTTAACTATAGAGAAGTTTATGGAGATGCATTAGTAGTAAGACAATGGTTCTCTAAAATTTGATATGGCAATTTTGATGTCGAAGATGCTGCTCCACATTTGCAAAAATATGTTGAAGTTGATAAAGGCGATAAAAGTATTTAGTTAATGGGACTAGATTGGATAGAGGTTGAATTTATCAAATTCGACAGGTTATTCCTGGGATGCATGGAATTTCTAAGTTGTCACAGAGAGAAACCACTGTCGGCGATTCCAAATTCTGATAAGTCAAACCAAAAAATGAGTTGTATGCAGCAACGTTAAATGGCTAACAAAATATGATTTCGGCTCTTTAGTCACCATAGTATATTTTTAAACTCTTTTATAGTATAGTAGTATATTTCAGAAGTCTTTTGTCATCAACTGATCAAACTCATTGATGTTCATTAGTATAGAAGTCTAAAAGTTTTTTGCAAAACAAGGTGAAATCTCGCCACGTGCAATTACAGTAGGGTATATAAAAACCAGATTTTTGTTATTACTTTTTCAGAAACAGTTTCAACGGGTTAGATCTACAAAATACAATTTGCTGGGATGATTCGATAAAAAAAAATTTACAGAAAATTTAGAGAGTAAAAGCAGTTTTTGACTGAAGTTATTCACAGATCAATTTTATTGATATCTTTTTAAGGAATTGAGTAGTATGAAAAATAATGATTTTAATAGTAACATTTAAATATTTGTTGTATATGCATAATCTTTACGTATAATGGCGTAACTATTTTTAAAAATTAGTGAAAAAAGGGTTTTCAAATCCCATAAATTGTTTCCAAGATCGGTTTCAGAAACGGTTTTGAAAACAGATAAAAACCTCTTTTACCCATGAATAGAAAGCAAAACTCACCATATTCTGCAGAATTGACATCGGTTCAGGGAACTCCAAAATTCCTTATATTTTGAATCTCAAATGAGGAACTGAAAATCCTGAAAATAATCAACAAGAGGATTACTTATAATAGTAATAACTGTATACTAGTGTATACTAGACTGTATACTTGAGATAAAATCATATTTCAAATGCTTGTATTATTTTGTTCATTGATATGATCATTAATAGATTCACAAATAAATAAATAATAAATGAGAACATGAATAGTATATTATAATATCATTACTAGATTAAAAACGTAAATATATAAATATTTATGTTAAATATAGAATAGATAATTTAATTTAACAAATATGAAATATTATTATAGTAGTAGTAACTAATTAGACATTTAATTCGAAACACCTATATCATCAGATGAATATATGGAAACATTTATATAATTAATTATAATTAAAATAATTATATAAATTGGTTATTAATTAAATAAATATATAATTAATTGTTTTATTATATAGTTGAATAAATAAATATTTAAGGAACAAGGAAATTTCAAACCATAACGTTAAAAGTAGTTATTTTTATTCATTATTAAAATTAAATTAAATTAAAAAAGGAATTAATTAATAAAATCAATAAATAAATATTAAGTTAAATATGCTACATATAGATAAAACAATGAAATAGTATTAATGAAAATATTTGATGTAACAACAAAAATTAATTATATAATTTAAATAGCAAAAACTATTAGACATTGATTCCATAATAAGCCAAAATTTTGAAATATACATATCAGCAAATATATAGACAATTATTATTTAAATATTTAAATAAATTAGTACATATATAAATTGATTCAGAATTAAATAGATAAATGTTTATAACTGGTTTATTAGAAAGATAAACAACTAAATAAATAAAATATCAAATATAAAATAAATGAATAAATAAATAATTAATTAAATAAGGGCTGCTGTTTGCTTATCATTATTTATTATCCTGATAAAAAGTATAATCAAATAAATGAAAAATAAACGAGTAATGAATACACAATAAATTGACAAAATAACTTAATAAAAAATACGTAAATATTTGTTTCTAAAAAATCTATTATTCACATGAAGTAATAAGTTTACCAACAAATAACAAAGAAAAAAATTATCACTATTTTATGATTATTTGAAACATTTGTTCTACTATTTAATATTTGATTATTTATTTCAAAATAGCGACTACTACAAGAAGATTTATGCTCAAACCCAAAGGATTTTAACAACAACTTCAGAAACTTTACCAACGGCGATTGAATTTTATTATTACTATTTCAAAATACAAAAATTAATTCAAAAAGAGTTACATCTCTTAAAATCAGAGGTCAAAATTTAGACACGGATCTGTGAAAAAAGTATTTGGTTATAGTTCGAAAATTTAAAAATAAATGTAAAATTATATTGATATAACATACTGTCTGCCTCAAAATTATATAATGGTACGACATTAGTTAATAATAAAATTACGTCCAGCATTATTGATGCAAGTTTGGTGGAAAATATTAGAGTTGTGTTTTTTTTTTTTACAACGGATACCATTAATCCCTTCTGAATCCGTTATGCAATTCAAAAAGTTAGGATTCATGATAAGATTACCATGACCAACCGTATGAAAGCCGATAAATAAATCATATGGGGAAACCACAAATGTTTGCGGCAGAAATTTGGAAAATCTTTGCGTTAGTCGTGGACAATTTATATGTTGCGTGTTTGAAGGTTAGAAAACCAAAAAAACACTTATTTTAATACCCACATTATGACTAAAAATAATGTAAATTCCCTCTACTAAAATATTAAAATAAATTGAGCTATTGGAAATAAATTCTTTTTAAAAATAAATCTCTTATCGTTACACGTTGTATATTGTGATTTCGCTGATAGGATTATCACGGTATAGTTAATTTCAAAAAGTCACAAGGACAAAAATAATCCTTCGCAGAAAAAATTGGAAAAATTCATTTTTATTCATGTTACTGCTGCCTGGAAACTAGTTATTAAAAAATATTATAATCAATATTAAAATATTAAAATTACAAATGACTTCTTAAAATGTTTTATATATTCACATATTTCGATGGCATTAATAAGGCTATGAGTCTTGGTATAGTATACGCCCAGCTTAACTACATCCTGATATGATCTCTACTGAACCAAAATACACAAAAATCAATTATTGAAATAGGAATTAGTTTTAAAAACTATTGATTTATTTTGTTTTTAATCACAATCCAGTAGGTTGTAATACCAAGACATAGAAAGACAAATTAGAATCATATAAATTGCTATACGTTCATATTTAATGTCATGAAAACTGAATAAAATAAAAAAAATACTACAATAAAAGCATGTTCAGGATCCAATGTTTTAATTTATAAATAAAAAAAATACTGGCATTAGTATTGTGCATATGTTGTAATCCAGCAATTAAAAAAAAAATAGAAATCAATCATTCAATCATTAATCACAGTGTACAAACTGAAAAAAATACAAATATCAGTGTTTATGGTCCGCCAATATATTAATTTGAAGTTCAATCTCAAATTGAGTTAAAAAAAACACTAGTTTATAAAAATTCAAATATATCAATAAATACATGATAATTTCTGAGCAGGAAAACCTATAAACTAGCCTTCGGCAATTTCAGAATTAAAGTCCTAGCTGGATAAATTTATAAAGTCAGATTTTCACCTGTTAAAAAATTGAATATAATATTTGCAATTAAAATTTTTGTGTTATTTTGAAAATTAGATGGAATAGAGACATATAATAGTAAAAAGGTATTTGTTATATGGACAAAAAAAGTTATTGAAGAAACGATAAAAAATCTTCATTTTTAAATTTTTTTCGTTTAATTTATGTTTTGAAATTCGTGAATATTTTTTATTTTATCTAGATAGGTAAAATAATGAGAATTGTTCAAGAAAAATGTAAAAGAAATTAAGCAAGTTAATTAACTTGTCTATGTGCCAATGTTAGTTACGTCTAAACCAATATATTAATATTAACTACATCTAATGATATAAAATACCAATTTCAATATACCCTGATAATGTCATTAAACTAAAAGAAAACGAATTCATTAACATAGTTTTCAAAATGCAGACATAGTTCTTGATCCCGAAACGCTCAAACCAAGTTTTTGGCAACCTTGAATAATAATAAGAAAAATTGCAATGTATCGCTATGTAGGGCCTATTTCTGCAGTAAAAAGAATAGAAATATAAACCAGAAAAAAATGTATTTATTCATTCATTCATTTGATTAGTGGTTAAAAAATCGGATGCAAAAATAATTCCCAAAATGGATAAGATCGAAGCCTACAGACAATATTTGGCGTGTCCAATTAATCTTTGGCACAATTTTACCCAATAACTACTACGAGCATATTTCAAATAATAAAATGTAAAAAATTAAGTGTAAAACGTCAACTTAAAATTGTATATATATATATATATATATATATATATATATATATATATATATATATGTAATCAAAGAGTTGACGATAAATTTTTTTTGAAGTCGAGTATTTACAAAATGAATCTTTGTTCATTAGAAGCTGATGATAAAAAACTGCAAATTACTTTAATAATATAATTAAAAATAATTTTTGGAACAAAAAATGTTAAGCGAAATATTAGCAATTTGAAAAAAGTAGTGATAAAGTTATTATTTAATAAATTTGATTAGTAAAA